ATATATCTGATCCCTGGGGGCAGAAGAAACAATTAAGCAGATTCTTAAGGCAAAAAGTCATACTTGCTTAGCTATTTTTTTGGCAGGTAAGTAATTACATGTAGAAAGAGGAAGCTATAATATCTATTTTCTCAAAAAGCCTTGACCAAATTCCATGCTGAAAGATACTAATAAATGGATGGAGAAAGAATGTGTCAGAAAGGCATGTTAGTCAAGGATCCATGTATTTGCTATCTCTTGCTGCATAACAATATCCTATAAACTTAGTGACTTAAAACAGCAGACATTTCTTCTCTCAGTTTATGTGAGTAGGTGCTGTAGTACAGCTTGGCTGAGTCCTCTGCAAGACTGTAATTAAAATGTTGGCCAGAGCTGGATTTTTATCTGAGACTCAACTGGGAAGGATCTGCTCACTGTTAGACTGAGATCTGCCATTTCTTGCTATCTGTTGGCTGGAGGCTGCCCTGGGCATGGTCCTCTCCTAGGGAAGCTCACAGCACAGCAGTTTGCTTCTGTAAAGCCAACAAGAGAAGGTCTCTCAGCAAGACAAATGTTACAGTCTCAGTAAGTAATCACATCCATGTAACCAAGTACATCCTCTCATTTTGCTGTGTTCTTCTGCTTGGAAACAAGTCACAGGTCCCACGACACTCAAGGAAGGAGCATTGCATGAAGACATAAATACCAGAAGGCAGAGATCATGGGCCCACCTTAGACTCTGCGCCACACCATAGGGAACTGGCTTAGGGATAAAAACTAGGAGGAGATGTCACAGTAAAAACCTATCTGTATTGGGAATATTTTAGTTTATATTTTTCAAATAATCTGGAAGAGAGGAAAATTAACGAAATTTGTCAGTTTTTCAATAGAAATAAATTTCTAGAGAGTAAGATGCCATGATACTGGAATCAAGTAAAGAATGGCCAATGGAAATCACCAGTAGTAACAGTACCAACATCATTGGCAAGCAGCATGTGGACTTACATCTGAGAATCAGATGTTTCATCACCAAAGTGGTGCCCAATTGTGAACGTATTTTCTGTTTTAGTGATTAGGTAACAATTGAAACACATGATTTTTGCTTTTCGATATAAAATTGTCTTAAGAGTTAGGAGGTAAAATATGTATGCTACAGAAGCACACCACCATGTTAAGGAGCAACCTTTGGACTTTTTCTACAATTTATTTCTGAATGGGACTGCTAAGGACACTATCTTGGTTGGATAGTATTCCTCATAATCAACTCTAGCATGTTAGAACTAGGCAAACCAAGCACCCTGCAGGTGACTAAACTTACATTTGCTGATGCAATAGTTACCGAAAAGTAAAATTTTTGGAAATAGGACCAAACAACTTTTTCAGAGTTTGTGGAACAGAAATTAATATCATGAATAACCAAATATTTCTCTTCTGCATACAACAGAACATCTCTGAGCTCTTGTCCAATTACCTGAGGATAGCAGGAAACTGGTTTTCTAAGCAAGAATACAATTTATTCTGCCAACATTATTATTATGTTTATTTGTCAAAGTGGGGCCCAATAGTGAACATATCTTCTGTATTAACATTTCATAAAACTGATTTGTTCAAGTGTGTTTCGCTTTTCCATGTTGGTTGACCTCTCAATTCAAATATTGTCAGGCTGCTAGAAATAGCACTGTGTCTTATCCAGCTTTGAACCATAGTGGACATTCAATGAATGTTTGCTGAATAGAGAAATGAGTTTATTGTGTGGACTGTGAAATGCAGTTAATATCAATAATGATTCTAAAGACACAGTAATATGAAGGTAAATTCAATATAGACAAGTGTTAAGATAAATGCATTAGAAGAAAATAAGTCAGATCACACTAATGAAATATTGGGCTCTGAGCTACGAAAATACAAGCAAGAGGAGAAACCAAGATGGCGGCATAGGTAAACACCGGAGTTGCTGCCTCGAACAACCACTTCAAAAATACAACTAAAAGATGGAACGGACATCATCCAGAACCACAGGAAGGCTGGCTGAGTGGAAATTTTACAACTAGAAGGAAAGAGAAAAGCATACCGAGACTCAGAGGAGGCGCAGTGCGGAAGTAAAATACTAAGGTGCAGAGGTGTATGCAGAGCAGGCTGGCGGCTGAGGGCGTGGTTGTCGTTTTTAATCGGGAGGGAGTCTCAGGCTCTGAGCTCCAGTTCCGGGCGAGTCTCTGGGGACCCAGACTCATACGGGAGAAGC